AGAAGAACAAAGCTTTCATATAAACTACTTAGAAATGAAGGCAATTTTGTTAGGGTTGCAATCCTTGTGTAGAGATGCTCATGATACCCATATTTGCATTGAGTCAGATAACACAACTGCAGTATCTTATCTTAATGCCATGGGTGGCGTGAAATCAGAGCATTGTCATAACATGGCCATCCAGATTTGGGAGTTGTGCGTCTCCAAGAATATCTGGATAAGTGCTCGTCACATCCCTGGGTCACAGAATACTCAGGTTGACACAGCTTCAAGACTATTTAAAGATTCTGTTGAATGGTCATTATCAACAGAAGTATTTCAATCCATCCTTACACATTGGGAGCCCTTTCATATTGACATGTTTGCCTCAAGACTCGACTACAAAGTGAAAGAGTATGTTGCTTGGAGACCTGACCCAGAGGCTAAATTCATTGATGCCTTTTGTGTTGGTTGGGAATCTTACTTTTTTTATGCATTTCTGCCTTTCAGTCTCATTCTTCGATGCGTGAAGAAGATATAAGAGGACAAGGCAACAGGAGTTCTGATAGAACCCTTTTGGAACACACAGGCATGGTTCTTAATTCTCCTCAACCTGCTGATAGACAGCCCATTGGTCCTTCCTCAATCAGACAATTTGCTACTTTTACCCTAGACAGAGGAACAACACCCTCTTTGAAGGAAAATGTGGCTAATAGCATGCAAATTATCAGGACAAGTTTCCTGCAGAAGAATGTATGAAGCAAAGCTCCAGAAATCATCATGTGTTCCTGGGCAGATACTTTCCTCAAGCAGTACCAACCTTATCTCCAGACCTGGCTCAAATTGTTGTGAATGGAAGGTTAATCCCTATGATCCACCTCTAAACAAGGTCCTAGATTTTCTTACAAGTTTATATGACAAAGGCCGTACATATGATGCAATCAATACAGCTAAATCAGCAGTCTCTGCCATAACTGAACCAAAGAATGGCCTAACCCTTGGTAACCAGCCTCTGATTTCACGGTTTATGAAAGGCATATTTAGAAACAGATCTCCTTGCCCTTGTTATGAATCCACTTGCGATGTTCAAGTAGTCTTATCGTATCTGTCATCCTTTGCCTCACCAAGCCAGCTGGATCTTAGAAATCTCACTCATAAGCTTGCTGTGTTGATAGCACTTGTGTCAGCACAGAGAACTCAGAGCATTCATTTACTTGATTTACAGTTTATGAAACCTAGCAACGATACGGTTAAATTTGTTATTCCTACACATATCAAACGAAGCCGACCTGGGTATAAAACCCCCACCATTATTCTTAAAGCATACCCTACAGACCCAGGATTGTGTGTAATTAACCACTTGAATGAATATCTCAAGAAAACGAGATCTTTGCGAGGGGAGGAAAATAAACTTTTTGTTAGTTATGTCCAACCTCACAGAGGAATTTCCAAGGACACAATAGCAAGATGGATTCCTACAGTTATGCTGAAAGCTGGACTTGATATTACCAAATTCAAGCCTCACAGCACTAGATTGGCTGCAACATCCAAGGCAACTCAAGCTTGTGTTCCTATACAGGACATACTGAAACAAGCTGGTTGGTCTAGTTACTGGACATTTGACAGATTTTACAACAAACCAGTTTGAAAGGATTCCACATTTGCCAATTCTGTACTGAAAGCTGACTGAGCGACTTGTTCACAGTCTCTTTGACTGTTATAATTATCTTGTTGTGTTGAACAAGAACTGTTGAGATTTCAGTCACTTTGACTATTATATATATTGTTGGGTTGGGTTGTTCCATTACCCAATAAATGCTTCTGCTTTATTTCCTCTCGTGTGTATGTTGGCTTTAAAATCTCATGTGATCCCGGATGCAATGATGACGAAATAGATTTGAAGATTAAACAAGACTTGCCTGGAAGTTGAAGTTTGATTGGAATTCTATGGGTCATTACACTGCAACCAGTGACAACATGCCCGCCCACTTTTGCCTCCCTTACTACTTAGTAATACATATATTATGCACTATGGGCAGTATTACAGTCCTCTTCAGTAGAAAACACCCACACTCGAGCTTTAAAAACTGATTTACGCATGCGCAAGCAATCTCATGTTATCCCTGGATGCAGTGTAATGACTCATAGAATTCCAATCAAACTTCAACTTCCAGGTAAGTCTCGTTTAATCTTCAATTTTCACCCCTTAAGATGTAATTTTATATTCCCTGAACTATTTGCCCTACATTTCTTACAATTGTAGCTCTCAGAATTTGGTGTTACTCAAGGAAATGTCCTCAACAAATTTTCTTAATCTCACCTAGTTTCTTCTAAACAGTGCATTTGATTGTGACTGGAAATTGAACACCTTGGGGACTGATAAGTTTAATTTTTCTTATTAAGATTTAGAGGGGGGGAGGTTTAGCTTTAATTGGAATGTCCAGTTTTTAAGGAGACACAGTTATTCTATCACTGTAACATGCCTTTAGATGAGATTAAAAGATTAGTTTAACGACAAGATGTTTGGATGCAAAAGGTGACCATGGTGTATTAAAATGATCTGGCATTAGTGTTGAGAGTTTGTCATTATATCATTGCAAAATTCCCATAACTAAAGAAAGATATCTACCATTTGTTTCCAAAGAGGAATCAAACCTTAAAGGTTGAACTTTTTATGGTTAGAAGCTCTACTGACTCAGCTGCCCCAACTTGTTGTTCCACAACAAAATTGTGGCCATAGAGGAGGGCTCAGGATCTGCAAGTTCAAAACAATCTTGTGCAGAAATTAAGCCCAAGACTTGCCTATTTAGCTAACTGTTTGAAGCCTATTACTTAAGTCCCTAAAAGCTTTAATGTCATTTGCCAAAACTAATTTGATACCAGCCAAGACTTTAAAGCTAGGTTTTGTACATTAATGCTTTTTTTGTAAATCAAACTTAAGTAGTTTGGCCTCTTTGATTTTTGATAAGTTTTGGAAGTTCTCCAAGGATACTGAAACTAAAACAATTTTTTTATGCTGTCTTCAGATACAAAACAGGAAACAAAATCAATTGGTGAGAATGGAAATAGAGAAAAACGTTGAGATTCTAACACAGAAGAATGTAAATAACATCTAAAATACCTTGAAAGTGATAAAAATGTGAGATAATGTAACAAAAAAAGTTAGCTTCCAGATATTTCTTCTCTATATTTTATGCAAAGATGTTTGTAGTATATAGTTTTTCGTGTATGGTTGGTATACCAAAAGCAATCATGGTAATCGGTAATCGGCCGTGTGGGTAAACAGCCGGAAATTACGGTAAACAGATAAGATTAGGGAGCTGAAATGGTAAGCCAATCTTGGTCTATTTGACAGTAAGTGCCATATTTTTCTTCAAGGTTATTTCCCAGACCAATTAGCGGCTTCACTATGTTATCCCTTAGTCCTTTCACTCAATGACCTACTTCCTGTACAAACCACAAAGAAAAAAAAGTGAAATCTACGACAAAGACTGGCCAGAGAATGAAGAGAAAAGGAAAGTGACCCTCTAGCCGACTGAGGACAAACGAGAATTAGCAGTGACATTGTTAAAATGTATGAACGAAAGGGTAAACAAAAACAAATCTAATAATATGGAGTCAGTCGTGAAGAGAAAACTACAACAAATTAACTGTAATTTTGTAAATTCAATTTCTTGTCACCTCACAGCTGTTGAATGCTGCCACATTCATTTTTTCTTTCCCCTTATCAACTTATTATACCATGTATTGCTGTCCCCATTCACTTTTTCTTTCTCCTTATTACCTTATTACACCATGTGTTGCTTCCACATTCATTTTTTTCTTTCTCATTATTACCTTATTACACCATGTATTGCTTCCACATTCATTTTTTTTCTTTCTTCTTCTTACCTTATTACACCATGTGTTGCTGCCACATTCATTTTTGTTCTTTCTCATTATTACCTTATTACACCATGTATTTTGAAAATACAAGAAAAAAGGGGGGCCGTGGTCCCCTTGGCCCCCTCCTCTAAATCTGCCTATGACTTACCCTGTTTACTCACTAGTCAATTTCTTTTATGGTATATTCAAGGGTTCATCTCATTGTGCTAGCTTTATATGGCATTATTACATTGTGTGATATTTTTAAATACATGCACAAAATAAGAAGATTCACGTTTGAAAAAATGGTCTAACAACAACATAAAAAGTAGGAGAGATAACCATTAATATTTATTCACCATTTTATCAGACAGCTTGTGGTCATCAGACAAAATGTAAGCATCAAGCTTAATAACACTAAAAGTTTTCATTGTATGTAAGCAACAAAGAGACCTATACTCCGAAAAAAGGCTTCACTGCAAATTGACAACTTTACTGTATATGGCTATAAATTATGTGGAACACAATGCAAACGAACACGTAAGTTTTAACACCTCGTTTATCATTAACGATCGGTGGAACTTAACAGACCGTTTTAAGAGAAATAGGTTTCCAACTTAATAGTGCAAGTTCTAAACTCTATATTTGTCATGGATACTTGCACACGAATTACATTTCGATTACAAGGAACTTTGAAGGGACAAAAGCAAATATTTCAGTGGGCATTGACTGGAGTAACGTATCTAATCATTAACAGTGTAAGAAAGTTAGCGACAAGAAATAAGTCATAAAGTTTACCATTGTCCTTTCACTAGCAGCCTTAAGTCATTCCACTTCCTCGATCTGTGCTTCCTGTAATCATAGGTCTCTCAGAAACAAAATGAAGATGTCCGAAATTTGAAGAAAACGACGCCATGTTGGTATGTTATTTTACACGACCATTCTTTTCTCGAACGAGAAGCCGCTGACATTAGTCGAAGCCGCAAACTCAACATTGAGGAGAAAGTGCGAAAATAACGTTCTCGTGTTTGATATGCTTCAGTTGAGCATGATGATTTTTGCAGATTATACATTTTACAAACCTACTCGGAGAGTCAACTATAAGCATGAAAAGAGGATGAAACTTAGATGATATAGAAAAACTATATAGAAACAGTCGACTGGTAGCACCACACGAGTTACAAAGAAAGCCGCGAAATCAGCGTTAAAACGACTGTCAGCGACAAAGCAGCTACGGATAAAAGGTTAGGAGACTTCACACGTTATTTCCCTGGCTTTTATTATCATTTTCAAATTTTCTTTTTCCTATCGGCCACAATCACACACAGTATGCTTGGGTCGCCGGTGATCTCATTGGAAACTTCTGTTTGATAATTTGTAAATTAGGAAACAATTGATACCTACTTTACATTTTTTGAATCGACAACATTGCGATTTTCGATTAGGTAATAAGAAGGTTTTTTAAATTATGTTTTTATTCAGGTGCCAAGTAGATTATGAAGGGTCTATTTTTTATTGTTAAAATTGATAATTCCACCTTTAGTGTGGTTACCCTTCGACCCCTGAGATTGAGTAGTATCTGAGTTTTCCTTTCAAATTCAACCCTGAATCACACACTAAGGTAACGAGGATCAAGGAAATGATCACCAACTAAGGAAGCTGTTGATTGTCCTTGTCACCAAAGTTATCCTTGTCAAATTCTTCCTGTCAGAGCCTTAGGAAATGTTTAGAGAGAGTATAGAGAATGCACATACTGCTGTTAGGGTGTCAAGGGTTAAATTTATCGCATACATCACACTTTCTGAGCAAGATTTAAATTGTACTTGCAATAATTTTGTGTGTTTTCACCCCAGTGTCACTCTCTTTATAATCAACTAGAAGTTGTTTAGATTTTTACCTTAAGTTCTATTTCATCATCACTGCATCCGGGATCCCATTAGATTGCTTGCGCATGGGTACATCAGTGCTAACTTTGTGTTTCATCAGTTTGAATTAGCTGGGAATTACAGCACAAATAAGCCAGAGGTTTTCGAGGTTTCAGCAGTTACTGAGCCAAATCTTCCTAGGAATCGCTTAAGGGTGTCTACTGGGAGAGAAGACGACAAAAATTCGGCAGAAAATACAGGTTTGACGCAAGTTCCCGCACCTTCCGATTTTGGTGCTTTTTTGGAAGGTATCCAGAACACACTTCCCGACCTTTCCCAAGCAACAAAGAACCAAATGGCAGCATTCCAAAGTCTTCACAACGATATTTTAATCGGAACAGGACAGTATGATGACAACCAGGAAGAGAGTACAGAAAATCCAAACACAGTTGACACAGCATGTGTTGTATCTGCTCTGTTCAACACGAGCACAAGCGGCGATGGCACCATCCCACATGACCAGGAAAGCTCTGACACAGAGCCAACAGTTGACTTACTAGACAGCCTGACACAGGCCTTCATTTCTTCTGAGAAGAAATCTCCAGCAATTGCCACTAAAATTGCTGACCTGGTCGATAATATTATTAAAATTATTAAATTTAAATTTATACCACGTAGTTTCTATAAGAATATTCAACTGTGCCTTGCAAGAAATATTAAATCAAAAATAAAATAAAAGTTCAAAATTACAATTCTAAAATTCCATAAATAAATAAATAAAATAATTCATCAATAATGTCCCATTACATGTGGGTTGAGTTTGTTGTTGGTTCTCGCCCTTGCACCGAGGGTTTTTCTCTGGGTCCTCTGGTTTTCCCCCCTCCGCAAAAACCAACATTCCAAATTCCAATTCGATCTGGAAACAGTGGACAAGAAGAGCCACCCAGTGGAATGTCTATTGCTAAATTATTTATTTTTTTATCTCCAGTTTTAGAACACACATGTTTATGTTGTAGTTCAATTTTATCCTTGGTTCAAATTTTATTTCCCTTTGTTCTTGGTCATGTTAATGTATGATAATGAGTTTGAAACAAAGGAAAATCAAATTTGAACCAAGGATAAAATTCAACTACAACATTTACACACATTTGGATTTGATTAGAAGATTGTTGAATAAAGCTGTTTGGAATCGAAATCCTAATCACCTGGTTTTTTAGGTAGAGTTCAAGGAGATTTAGCAATCTTTCAAAATTTTGAAAATTTATAAACTAACATGACAAAAAAATCACATAAAATTGAGAATAAAAGCATTGAAAATATGGGTTGAACTCGCAAGCTTTTTCATCCCTGAGCTGCAGCAAGAACTTAATTGAGGGAGGAATTATTTGCAAGGTTTCTATGACTCATCTTGCTATTCTTTTTACTTGTCGAATTCATCTCTCCACCAAGATTTCTCTTCTTTTGTTAATTTTGTTTTCATTCGTTTGCTAAGGTCCACTGATCTCACGAACCATGCTTTAAAACAGGTTAATAGGTGTGCTACTTGATTGATTTTGGCCAAAATTTTAAGGAACTTACTCCAAGAAAAATTCCACATTCATTCATTTTACACTTCCTAAGACATATTACTATAATTGGATTGAGATTTAAAAAGGATTTTTGTCTTCCAGTTTAAAAGAAGGAGGTCTTGAAAATTATTTAATCTGAAACCAATAAGAAAAGTTTTATGAGGGTTGCTGGATACCCCTACCAACTACTCTCTTTAGGAATTCCTTAACCTTGCTTAAGAGTAAGTGCAGGAGGCAAGAAGTTCCATAAGGTACATAAGTGTGTTTCTCTGGGAAATATCGATAAATTTTGATTGATATCCAGAAGGCCCTACCCCTCCCCCATAGCTTCCAAGTTGTCTAACCATTGGGGCTAAATATATCACTACACAAAGTATAAATTGATATACAAAATTTATTCTACAATCATGACAAATTTGGGTTCTGTCCTCATGTACCGGTTCACAAGAGCCGATACAAAAGACCGAACAATACACAACAGCTAACCAATGACTCCTAAACAAAGAAAGAACAATGGTAATTCCCTTGTGAACCGGTACACCAGGACAGAACCCAAATTTGGCAGGTATGGTTCTATTAACAAGAAGTATGATGCAAAAATCTAAATTGTTTTGAAGTCTGATGCTTCACCTTTTGATTTTGCAATGCAACTTATTGCCAGTCTTCTAGATTGTACAAGTAATAGGCCATAAGTCTGTACAAATGTACTTTAACATATTTGCAAAAACTGTAGAAAGCTCCAAAAAATTTGTGCAGTTAATATGATATAAATCTCACGCCACTAACCTACAAAAAAGCCTATTGTCTTAAAAGTGCGACGATTTGATTTACAATGTATTTACAATTCTGTTTTTGACTTTTTGTGGTAAATGTGACACTACTTAAACTGGTTCGCTGCAATCGGAAAAAATATAGAAACGCGCAATGAAAAAAAAAACTCTAGTATTATTCCACGCAATTGGTACTGCATTTATTCATCTGATCTGCTTATAATCTCCAAAAGAACTTACATAAACTCAACAGAAAATCACTCTTTGTAGCAGACACAAGCAATCAAAACATGCAAAAAGCATGGGGTTAATTTAGGATCGAAACTAACCAATCATAGAATGAGAGGTAGAGGTCTAACGTGCATAGCTGACAGTTGTTGTATGTGATAGCTTCAGCCAAGTGCTGTGCTCCTGTGTCTGGGATGTTATTGCCTGAGAGGTGTAACTTACGTAGCTGACAGTTGTTGTTTGTGATGGCGTCAGCCAAGTGCTGTGCTATGTAATATATAAAGAGCCACTGTGAAGGTAAAGTTTCTTGCCCAAAAATAAATAACAATTTGGAATAACACATTTGTGTTGTTTGCTATCTCGACCAGAATCATAAGTTTGCAAAAGAAACTTGCAAAGATTGAGAAAACAGAGACAGATGAAACTGCGGCTTTAGAAAATATGGTGCAAATAGTGGGAAAAAATGTGGAATAAACTACAGTGAGAAGAATGAGTGAGACTTATCAATAGAGGCATTTAGGCTTGTAGTTCAAACAATACTGTTGGTTTTTATCTCGATTTTGTTCGCTCACAGCTGGTATGCTATTTTTTGACATTCTTTTGGTGATTCAGATTGTGTGAAAATCAACAGTTTTTAGTAATGTTCTAGTAGGCTATTTTTAGTAAAGCAGTGACATATTGAAACAAGTCTTTTACAGCCTTTTATCAACTAGGCTTCCAAGGCATTTGATGCAGATCTGTGAACTTGGTCACCAACTATTCTAAAGATGGCTAAAAGTTACATTGATAATTATATAAAGTTGATATATTTTTTATATCAACCCACAAGATATAAAAAATACAATTGCCAATAGACATTAAAAAAGCAGTATAAAAAAAGGTTTCTATTAATTATTGACTTTAGTTAGAATATCACATTTATCATTTAACAATATTAAAGAAGAGAATTCTAATGAACCTGTTTGAGTTCAAAACTCTCTATATCTTGATATTTATTGTTATTTTATAGCAAAGAGCTCTCAGCTGAAGCTACAGTTGTAAAATTGAAAGAAGAAGTGAATATATTAAAGGTATGGTTAAAGATTCTTAACTTTGTAGCTCTTCAGTAGCTAGTGACATAAATGAAATGCAGCTACCAGGTAACATTCTGGACAAAGGTAAATTTGTGCAAAAAAGATAACGAACTGTTTACAAGGTATATTTGAAAAACTTGATTGTTGTGTAATTTGTTTTAAACAAGACACAATGATATTTCCAAGGTTTTTAGAGAACCATTTTTTGCTGGCAATTCACATTGTTTATACATTTATTAACAGCTATCATATTTTTCCATGGTATTTTTTCATGGTATTTTTTCATGGTACTTTTTCATGGCATTTTTTAGGGGTTTCAATAAGTTTTTTACAGAAGCGGGTACTTAAGAGTAATAGGCGGGTACATTTGGCGAAGGCCCAAAGGCCTTTGACCCTAGGGGGGTCCAGGGGCATGCTCCCCTGGAAAATTTTGAAGTTTTAGACTCTTACAGATGCATTTTCTGGTCTTTTTTTGGTGCCTGGCTTTTAATTTTTTTGCTCCCAAGTTAACTAATTGAAACAAATTTGAAGAGAATTATATGACAATAAAGAAGTCACAGTCAACTATTTCTATTGAGGTGCTACTTTTAACACTTAACACTTTCACAACTGGTGTCTTTAAAATTGTTTAAGTTTAATGTAGTTTTAGCTCAGGGTTAATCCTTAAATCAAAAAAAAATTTAATCTATTGTGTAGAGAAACATGGTTATATTTCAGTCTCGTTTGACCTATTTTGTTTTGACACTGGCATGAAATATGCAAACAACAATTGCCTTTTGGCCGCCATTAGTATTCACACTCTTTCCCAGTTCCTGTCGATTTCAGCTGAGCTGCCTTGCACATTTTTTTTTTTATGTAGCTTCCGAAGCGATGTCTATTACATGTTTTGCAGACTTTGCTTCAACTTTCATGGGCCAGAAGGCTTGGAAGATGCCAGAATGTCTTTTCTTTTTTATTTCCTTTTGTTTTCCTGTAAAATAAAACCTATTTTTCCGAACTTTTTGGCAAGAATTCGAAGCTGAGATGAAATTATCTGGTCTTACTTGACGTTGGTGTGAAGGCTCCAAGTAGGTAATTGGCCCATCACAAGCGGGTAGATATACCCGCTACCTGGCTACAATTGAAACCCCTGTTTTTCATGGCATTTTTTCATGTGGCATTTCCTTCAATGAGTGCCCATGCACTAATAAGCTGCCTCCTCTGAATAAATGCCCACCCCTTATGCAAAAATTTCAATCAAGCACCCCCCCTTTAAAATAATCCCCCCCTCCACTTTTCACTTTTTTAGGGATGCAAGGAAAAGCTGTTTCTATTGCCATTTATTTCTAGCTATTTAAGCTTCAACTATGGCTGAATCAGTACAAGAGAATAAGCTCTCCTTTCAATTAAGCACCTTCCTCTGATAAGTGCATCACCTTTCAGCCAAAATTTTAAAACAATGCAGAGCATATTTTTGAGGAAATGCAGTTTTAAAACTAAATTATTACAGGAGCACTGATAATTTTTTTGAAAGACTACAGATTACATTTCTTTTGCATGGGCTCATAAATTTTTTTTCACTCTTTGAAATGCTCACTTGTGCTTGGTTATTCCAAATTGTGCTTAAAATTAAGGGATAAGCAGTATAAATTATTGAATTGGAATCTTGAAAACTTTTCTTCATCAATTTTATCATTTGCAACCTTCTGTTAGCCAATGTCCATGGTAATTACCCATAACTGCATATCACCTTGAATACAATATTATAAAATGTAAGAATGCTCTTAAAAGAGCCAATGTCTGCATGGTCAGCCCAGATACATAGCAAAATCTACAAGGGTTAGACTACGTTTGATTTGCCTTTACAAATGGTTTACAATAACTATTCTGCTTTTCTTTGTCAGACAGAGTCAATTCCTTTAGCAACATATAACCAGCTGTTAGATGCCAATCATACAATTACAGCTGTCAAAGATAAATCAAAAGTTGCCGCTGATCAAATGAGC